ATTGGTTAAATTGATAATGGAATTGTTTGGTTTAAAGGTTTAGTTTGATTTCCGCTGGTTATTTGTTGACTTGTGAAATTGATTGGATTATTGAGGATTATCATTTATGGGAATGATAATCTGATTCAATGTATAAAAAAAAAAAAAGGGTCGGGTTGTTTCAGTTCCTTTGAGGTGACAGGTGCAGAGGCCTTTGAAGTTTCTTTTTTTTCTGAAATATTTGATTTTTTTTTTCTTCGTAACGTGTTGTGAATGATAAAATATACAAAATTAAAAAATCAAAATCGTAATAAGTTTATTTTAAAAGATTTTTTAAAACTGAAAGAGAAATTCATAAAATTTGTAAATCCATGACAATAAAATCAGTGATTACAAACGATAACCCGAATATGATTAATTATTCATTGGTAAAATTTGTGAACAATTATATGAGATTATGGTCCTAAAGGTTATATATTGAAACTTTTGTTGTAACACTTATTTGGGAAATTGTCATAAAAGTTTATTTTGAAATTATCCTTAAATTTCAAAGAGAAATTCATAAAATTTGCAAATTTTCAACAATAAAATCAACGATTGCAAAATATTGCAATAAAATCAACTGTATAAAATTTACTAACATTTTGTGTGCGCTAACATTTTCATTATTTTCAAAGCAAACTTTATACAATTTTCTTTTTCTCTAGCTGTTCTTCGATCAAAACCTCCTTAAATACTATGTTTTCCACGACTCCTAGTTAAATGGATCAAAAATCCGTAGCACAATACTTATAATTTTAGTAACTATTCACAAAACAATTATAAATAATTAATTATTTGGTTTATCTATTGCATCATAAAAATTGATTTAGTAGTGTTGAAAATTCAAAATTTTTTTGATTACTCTTTAAATTAAACAACTTAAACAAAAAAAGACTACTCCATGATAGTACTTAATGATATAATCATTTTCAAAACTTTAATCCAAATGTTTGGAAAATATTTTTTTTTTAAACGTCTTGATTTATTATTTATTACCACGGAAAATAATGTTTTGGATATTGCAATTCGCCAATTATGATCGCAACACCAGGATTTTCTCCACTCGTGATGTAGAATGGAGAATGGATATTGTCGCGATTATCGAAGGAAGAAGCCGGAGCTGGAACCGGAGTTGTAATCGGAGATCGAGGCGGCGAATCTTCAGGAATGGAAGATCGTCTTGTTGAAGAAGCTCCACGGCCAATACGACGAGATACTATGCGTCTGATGCCATTGAAGTGCAGATCGAAGCTCAAACAAAGATGATAATGTGAAATTTGCGATTCTTAGCGGAATAACCAAAAACCTTTCACATAAACGATCAACCGTGAGAATCAACGATCAATCTAGGTCAAACATAGAAGAAATCAAAGAAAAACGAAGGATCGAATGAGATTTTCGATCTCATGCTCTAATACCATGTTAGAGGAAAAATCGAAGAAGAAGAAGATAAGATTTGAGAATGAATTTTCTGTTATCGCATTCAATGTTTTTACATTCAACTCTTATACTGAGCTGTTTTAGTTTGGTTTACATTAGTTAAACAATAACCAAGTAACCAACAAATCAAACCGGATACCGGTTTGTTACAATCTTAATTGCATAGTCTAATAGATTTCATAAAATTGATAGTTTTATCTGCATCACAAAAAATTACGATGAACGATTCTTCCTACATCATCTTTACGGTGGGCAATTGTATGATATATATGATCAGTCGACTATGAATAGTTCTATTTACACCATATTGCAGCACGATGAATGGACATCGAATAAAATTAGCTCCATTAATCTACAATATTATGTTTATGGGATTCGAACCCCCAACTAGAATCCTTAAATTAAACATTTTGTCTGTATAACAGAAAGAAAAAAAAAAATACATTTCATGTCCTTTGGACGAAAATTGTTGAAATAAGAGTAATTTTATTTACTTGGAAAATTAAAGGGTATAACTGAAATTTCATAACAAATCGAAAGACCAAAACCCTAGAAAATTGACAGAATATAAAACCTCACCAAGCGGCGTTTTCTTCCATTTGGTCATCGTGTTTCCTCTTCCTCTCGATCTCTCTCCTCCGCCGCACAGATCCAACTCATCCATCGCCGGAGAAAATGGTGACTGCAAAGAAAACGGTGGGTCGTGTTATCTCTCATCAAAGTTTCATTCTTTTTTCATCATCTTCGTTTTGGATCTCAATGTACTTCACCACAACGTCTAAAACTATGCTTCTGGGTTTATGCTTTAATTGCAGAAGAAGTCTCACGAGGGTATCAACAGTAGGTTGGCTCTTGTAATGAAGAGTGGTAAATACACTCTTGGTTACAAATCTGTACTCAAATCTCTCCGTGGCTCTAAAGGTAATTTAGTCGAATACTTGGTGTGCATACCAAAATGTTTTAGCTTTTGTAGCTGGTTTTCTAAGTTAAGTCCTGGATTGTTTATACTCGCAGGGAAACTAATCCTCATCTCTACCAATTGCCCACCTTTGAGAAGATCAGAGATTGAGTATTACGCAATGCTCGCAAAAGTTGGTGTTCACCATTACAATGGAAGTAAGTTCCTTTCTTCTTTAGCTCTTATATATTCAGAAATTAACTGTCCCCTTATATGTGTTTAGTGTTCATTAGGTTTTCGTAACTGAGAATAGAGAAAAGTGTAAACGCACCTTCTTGTATTAGACCATTAGGTTGTAACTGTAAGTAAAGTGTTGGTCTTTCTCAAAACCAAGATTCCTACATCTTTAGTGTAGAATGTCACCTCGGCTTGAATTGGTGTTTGTGTCTCTCTGTATGTGTTTATTACGAATTACAAAAGTCGCATTCTTGCACAGTTTCAAGATTTCATCAGCTCCTAAAACTGATCGTTCTAATGGTTAATTGATGATCTCGGTTTGTATTGGAGGTTGATTGTCTGATTTTCTGCAAACTGATCTTATTCGTTGACATGATTATTCAATTCACCATTAGTTTGACTCTGTTTACGATCCCTCGAGGCTCGGTGATCTATCCTGTATCAGATTGGATTGACTCTGTTTCTTCTTCTTGCTATCTTGATGTGTTTCACAGACAACGTTGATTTGGGTACAGCTTGTGGAAAGTACTTCCGTGTGTCTTGTTTGAGCATCGTTGATCCTGGTAAAACAACAAAACTAGTGAAACTACTTTCTTACAGATTAAACTATTGGGATCTATCAATAGTCTAAAGTTCCTACTAATGATTTTGTGTGTTTGACTTGTAACAGGTGATTCTGACATTATCAAGTCAATTCCTGGTGATCAGTGATACAAATTTCGATTTTAATTTTCCCGGACTTTTATCCATTTTTGTATTGGAGCCTCTCAAATTTTATGAGCAAAAGATATTTATTATATATGAAGAACCGGTTTAGAAAATTCTGTCAAACGTGGAAGCAATACATAATTACACGCATTCTCGCATCATGAGATTTAACAATACTTGGTTAACCTTGTATTTGCGTAGTTGCCCCTCCTTTTGTTCTATAATTATGATTTTGCTCCTCGTATTCCATATTTGATGAATTTACCCTCTGGTTGTTCCATGTATATGGATTTCTCCTCCGGTTGGTCTATATTCTATTCATTTATTGCGTATTGCCTCTATTGTTTTATCCTTTGGTTATTCGATATTTGAGTCTGTCTGATTGTTCGATATTTGAGTATTTGTCCTCGATTTGTTTCATAATTGTGGTTTGCGTCTGTGGTTTTTTTTATTGTATATATGTATATGTTAAACAATTATACTGAATTACATATATTATTTATATTTTTAGCAAATTAAAAAGAAAAATTGGTCTCTATATTAATTATTGGTCATATATTTAATTATCTAACATCACATAAAATGAAATTTAGTAACTAACATTATAATTATGAGACATTCTAATCATACGCTTAATATGTTTATGGTAAGTGCTCTCATATCTCTTTTTCATCA